GGCCCCTGTCTGTGTCAGGGGCAGGGTTACTGGCATGGGCCTTATGCCCTGTGTGGCCTGGAAGGCTTTCAGTGGGAGGGGAAATGAACCTCCAACACCTCCAATGAAGGTGACCTGAAGAGTGCTTTCTGGGCCTTCTCCAGCCTATATGCTGGTTGGTTATCCTTCTTCCCCTTGTCCTCACAAGGGGGCTTGTCTATGCCTGGCCTCCTAGCAGGCCTTTCTGGGCCCCTGGACAACAAACAGTGCTGAGTCATTGACACTGGCGGTGCACTGTGCACCAAGGCACTGATACTTGGTACCGAGTCCAACCGCTGATCTTGCGGAGAAAGGGCAGACTCCATGAAGAGCACTCTGAGATGAATGCTTCACTCTTCAATGGTCCTGGGACAGAAGGACCTACAGATGTGGCACTTGTCCAAGACACATTTTTCTGCCAGGCAATAAAGGCAATCAGCATGTGGATCGCTGACTGACACAGGCCTGTGGCACGTGGTTCAAGCTTTGAAACAGGGAAGGAGAGCAGGGCATGCCCTGTCCCCAGGCAAAGTCTTTTGGCAAAACAAAGTCCAACCATTTCCAAGCTTCAAAGGGGGAGACGAGTTGGTCTGTAACTGGAAAAACTTAAAAACCACCACTAGACTTGCAGCACCTTAAAGGCTAACAAAACATGTAGATGGCATCATGAGCTTTTGTGGGCACAGCCTACTTCTTCAGATGAATGGAGTTATTAAAAGGTCCAGTTTCTAAATAAATAGAGCAGGGGCGGGGAGGGGGGAGGAAAAAAAGGAGAAAGAAATAGTCCATTAGAGTGTCCATGCTACATGAAGCTGACAGAGAAGGTACTGGTTGTAAGTTCACAGGTACTTAGGTTTGACTAACACTATCAACTCTACAAAGGGAATGCTTACTGCAGCTAAGGCTGGAGCTCGCTGTTCCAACCACCGTCACTGGCGGTAAGAAGGAACTGAGGAGAGAGGCTGGGAGCACTCTATGTAGTGTGGCACGTGTGCACCACTTCAGGGGGTGCTGGGGACCCCAGCCCCTACGGATACTGCTTAGGAAAAAACTTCCGGCACAAGTGCAAGCGGCTGGCACACACCCCTATGTTGAAAGGACACGAGCAATCTCTCAAAGAAGAGCTCCTGCAACTTCGCAGGGAGTTAGAGGAGATGACCCTGGCAGTCCCTTCTAACCCTCTCATGCTACAATGAAGACAGCTGAACCGGTGGGTGGTTAATGCGGTCTGAGTACAGACGCAAGTTCCTGTTCCCGTGGATCTAGGCCAGGAGCATGATGGAGGCCCTCTCATGGACAATGTGGGGCAATGTTTTTTCTAGTTATGGGCAGCCATGCTGCATGTGAAGTCCTGGTAATGATGCAGATAGCTTTTGGAAGCTCCCAGGAGGCAGGCTGACATAGAGACGAGTGACACCAGACATGAGGACAATACTGTGGTAGCAGAGGACAAGGGCTGATGTTCTAAATGCCTAGACTCTCAACCTGGTGAGCCAGGCAGTTTTCTGAACAAGTTTTCCCAAGTGCTAACTTTGGCTGCTGCTTTCTTCGAGTGGCTGAAGTACACAAATGACCTATCCAATGGGATGCCAAGGCAAAGCAGCGTTGGGTCTGGCGCAGGCAGTGGCTGCTTATCTCATGGCATGCACTTGTTTTATGAAGCTGAAATGCTTGGAAGAGATCAGCTGCAGGCACCAGAAACTAATGTAGTCTGCCCTGAGAGCCATATCATCAACCAACATCTACGTTCCCTCTACGTTGCATGGCCATGCAGCTTCCTATTGAGCCCTGAAGCAGGGAGAGATGCCTATCTTCAAGCCCCAGAGCTGCCACAGCCAGGGGGAAGTGGTCTCACTGAGCTTGCCCCAGCAGGTCATGGCAGCTCTGTGCTGGAGCCTCTGGGGAAGCAGCCAGCAGTAGAGCCAGCTCCTAGGTGGGGGAGTCACAGGGCTCTGCATGCTGCCCCCACCCTAAGTATGCTGGTTCCTGGCCAATGGGAGCTGGGGGCGGGGCAGTGCTTGCAGGTGAGAGCAGCATGCACAACACACCATGGAGCCTCATGCTTCCCCTCCCCTGGAGCAGGACCTGTTGGCCATGGCTGGGGCACAGCGCTGTGCCCCAGAACAGGGAGGCACAAGGCAGTTTACCTTAGTGCCACTGACCAGAAGCTGCCTGGGTTTCCTGCAACTCCCCTGTCCCTGTGAGCTCCCCACAACTTAAAACCCTTCCCTGCACTCTCAACCCCTCCTCTCCAGTCCAGAGCCTGTCCCCTCAGGCCTGATCCCCTCCCCAAATCTGAAGCCCCCTCTTGCATCACATCCCCCTCATCTCCAGGCCCTCTCCAGATCCCTCACTCCCTCCTGCCTCAACCCACAGCCCCCTCCCGTATTGTGAATCCATTGGCCTCATACCCCAGCATGGAGCCCTCTCCTGTCCCACATACTCATTCACAGCTCTACTTTAGAGCCCCCTCCCAGCCCAGCTACCTGCCCCAGCCCAGAGCACCCTCCCATATCCAATTCTCATTTACAGGCCTGACCCCAACCCTTTGGCTCCACACCCGCCACACACGGTCTGTGTGTGGAATGACTTTTGTTATGTGCTACATCCCCTCCATGTTGGTGCACATGACAAAAGTCATTCCGTAGTTGGACATAAAACATTTGAGGGAATACTGTCCAGGGCCATGTCTATTTCTGAGGGTGGCTGAGCTTCATAGCTGCAGCAGATGTCATCAGCATACATAAATGCAATTCTTCAACCCCAGGTTTTTAGGCATAATCCTAGTTCCCTAAGGAGGATTTTCCTGCAGTAGGAAAAAACCAACACTAATACTCAAAAAAGTGAAAAGAATTAAAATAATACAATTATTTACAATACATCTACAGACTGATGCACTTGAAGGAAGAAACTAGAGACTCAGAAGATTCCAACTCTGGCCGTGCAGTAGTAAGGAGGAAGCAGAGTGGGTCCACATCACCCTTTACGGCCACAGTAGGAACATAGTTGTGCCTATGCAGACCAACAGATACCGTGTTTATTAAAAATGTGCAGACTCAGGCATGTGTAAACTCCATGTGAATACAAGTAGGGACGGTCACTTGAAGCAGAATCTGATTGTACATAAGACACATATGCACCCAAGTGAAATCTGTGTGGACAGTTACTCAAAGATCAGCAACAAAACTGGTATTTTGCCCTGAAGGTTCATAGTAATCATTTTGGTACAGACATATCTGACCCAGGATGAAATGATCAAGTGGTCAGTGATGGACTTCAATTCCTATTGTACGCAGCCAGCAGCTTCAGCACTAATATTTTAATTTATATTAGCAGAAGAAAAGCAGAAGACAACAACCCCAAAACACAAATTCCACAGGAGAAAGCAATATAACATATTATCAGATGTATCTGGCATTGCTTGTGTCCTTAACTGTAGTAATGTTTGTTTGTTTTAATATAGAGAAAAATGTACATGCTTTACGTAAATGATTGTACAGGGCAGGGGGGGGCTCAGGCCAAGAGGTGGGGTACAGGAGTGAAAGCAGGGGACTGGGAGGTTGGGGGGGGGATTCAGGGCAAGGGATGGAGGATGGTGGAGTGAGGGAGGGAATGGGGGGCCTCGGGGCACAGGGTTCACTTTGGGGACACTCAGGGCAGGAGTGGGAGATCTCAGGGCAGGGGGAGGGAGGTGCAGAACTCAAGGCACAGGGCTGGGGTGAGGACCTTATTGGTGCTGCCCATGGTAGCGAGGGTGTCGCTGCTCCAGTGGCAGGTAATCTTGGGGGGACTGGAGTTGCACTTCCTGGCTGGCTAGGACTGTACTTCTTGGCTGGCGACTCCTCCCAGGGGATGGGAAGCTGGCCCTGGTCTCTAGCTTGTCTGGGGAGGGGGTGCCCCACCCTCCAGCTACCTCTCCCCACCCTGCAGCTGGTTAGGGAGGCAGGGCTCCAGGGGCCGGCCCTGACCTCCAGTTGTCCCCCACACCCTGAAGCTAGTGCGGTGGGTGGGGAGGCTCCAGAAACTGGCTCCAACCACCAGCTATCTCCCTCCCCACCCCACAGGCAGCTGGTCTGGAAGAAGGCAGGCAGGGTTTTTGGGGCCTGGCCCCAGCTTCCAGCTGGGTTAGTGGGAGGAGACTTCAGGGGGTGGGTGGATCCTGCCTGCAACTGCCCCCTCCCCCACCTCCAGCCTGTGTACAAGTGGGGAGGTTCTGGGAGCCAGCTTTCCCCTCTCTCATGCCTGGCTTGCAGCTGCTGGGCGGGGGGGAAGGAGCGAGGAGGGTCCAAGGGCTGGCCCTAGCCTCCAGCAGCCCACTTCTGGCCTGCAGTTGGTCCGGGGAGGGAGTGAGGCTGCGCAGGCCGGCCCTGGCCTGCTGACCAACACCCCGGCCCTGTAGACTGTCTGTGAGGCTCTGGGGGACTCCACCCCAGATCTGCAGCCTGTCTGGCAGGGGTGGAGAGGGGAGAGGGCAGGGTGCTCCAGGGGTGGAGAGGGGAGAGGGCAGGGTGTGAGGGACTGGCCTTGGCTTCCAGCGGGGCCTAGCCTGCAGCCAGTTCAAAAAAATTGAGAAAACATGTCTATTTGATGAGGGATATGTACCTATTTGTCTTCATATCAACAATATTTATCTAGGATGTTGCAGAATACAAATATGGTCAAATTATCGGCTGCTTAGAATAGGCATAACTCAACTAAGGTCAATGGGGCCATAACAATTTACAAAAGATGAGAATCGGTCACAGAGTGCCTATCATAGTACCTCAATACTGCCAACATTTAGTATTTTCCTTTAGAAATTTTTAATAAAAATCAAAAGTAGATTACTTAAGTGTACTCTTCATGTAATCTAATTCCATCAAACAATACAGCACAGATTATCTTTCACGAGAAAAATCACACAATATAAATTTAGCCTAGAATAGAGAAATGATACGTTCTTTTAAAATATAAAGTCATTCGTGAAGCTATTCTTACTATACCTGGTCGTATTCCAGCGCGCCTGGATACAGCGGCCACCCAAGGAACAGCTCTGCAATCACACATCCCAGAGACCACATGTCTATGGCTTCACAAAACGGTAACCCCAATATAATCTCCGGTGCTCTGAAAATTAAATAAATACAGTTATTACATATTTACCTTAAAACAATTAAAAATACATGGTAGATGATAAGTTTGTAATATGAAAATGTACCATTTATGCTTTTAAAAGTAAAACCTCAGGGTTTTTTTTGCTTTGTTTTCAAGATACTGCACAATAGACTAGTACAGTAGCATTGAAGAGATGATTTTTCCATGCAATATCTGTAGGTTATGCTTAAGCTATCATCTTTCTGCATTTTCTATTCTGTACTCTTTCTATGTCTTAACTTGCTGTGATTCTCATCATATCTAAAAACTTAATTAAATGTGAAAGCAATCACAGAATAAGCATAGCACTATTATTCCTCGATTATTCAATACTTTAACTTTTCTTAAAAAACAACAAATGATCTGGTAGCACTTTAAAGACTAACAAAACATGTAGATGGGATCATAAGCTTTCGTGGGCACAGCCCACTTCTTCAGATGACAGGAGCTTTGAGTTCCATTTCACTGAACGCAAGGGCTTGCCTGTACTGCGTACCCACAACACCCTGAGATGGAGGAAATTCCTTTTCCTCCTCTTCCTGGCATGCTTTGCTTGAGCTCTTGAAATACCGCGCCATTAGGTGTATCAAAGTAGACATGAATATCATAATGGCTTGATACACAGTGGGATCCCCGAGGGGGGCCATGCTACTGGTGCTATGGGCAACCAGGGCCACAAAGGGCACAAAAAGGCTGTTTTCCAATGATTTCAAGCAGGGGCAGAAGGAGTGGAAGAGTGCCTTATGAGTCGCTGACATGAACCCATAAGCCATCTCTGTACCGTTTTGGTCCCAGCATACACCGGGAGCATAACCCAGAATGCAAAGCAGCACCGTCACTGTGGGAGAGCTATCTACAGCGCATCACTCTCAAAGTCGATGGCAGTCTCCCTAACACTTTGAACTATGTTGAATTCTTCCTCACAGTGGGAATACAGACCTTCGACTTTGCAAAATCAGGTGGCCAGAAATTGACCATAATAGATTGACCTCATCTCATAGTGTACACATGGCCTTAATCTCCATTGCTGCCAATTAAGCCCATTATGTCTTGTCCTATCTACAGTGGACATGGAGAACAAGTGATCCCTATCCCCATCCCTTAACATATTTGAAGAATACGGTTATCAGATTCCTTACTGATTTCTTACTGCCAAATCAAAACCCTTATTCTGGGCTTGTCCCCTCAGGAACCTATTCTACCTCCTGTGAATTCCTCCAGAGCTGCAGGGCTTCTTTAGGGAGAGCTTTCCCCTACCCTAGGGAACTTTCTCTTTACACCATTCTATCAACCTCCTCCTAGCTCAGCTGCTCCATTTCTAATTGCCTAAAGGCATCTGTTTGATTTTCCATTTCTGACTAGTTGTGTTCTAAGGGGTTTATACTTTTGTCAGCTGTGCACATCTTTCCTTGAAGACTCAACAGAAATACAATATTTGTGCAAAGGTGATACCAGAACCAAAGTCACCCACAATCTGACTGGAAAACTATATTGGGCTGTAATTGCAATTGTAACAAGAAAGATAGAACTGGAAGGAACATTGAGAGTCCAGTTTCCCTGCACTGATGGTAGGACCAAGGACTATCAAGACCATCCCTGACAGGTGTGTGTCTAACCTGTTCTTAAACATCTCTAATGTTGGAGATTCCACAATTTCCTTACGCAATTTATTCTGGCATTTCTGAAATAACTTAGCATCTACACAGCAGGCAGTTATTTCAAAATCATGTTGAAATACTGTCAAGCTGGAGAACTTCTTACGCCAACTCCTGTAACCCTCATTGTACAAGTAAGGGAAGTCAGAGGAAGAGTGCTCTGTTTCGAAATAAGTGCTGTGTAGACGCTCCTTACTTCAAAATAAACTATGCAATTGATGCAGCTCAATTAGTGTAGCTTATTTTGAGTTAAGCCCTGCTCTGCAGATGCACCCGGAGTGCTAGGTTTTTCCTAATGTCCAATCCTTGCTGCAATTTAAGCCCATTGCTTCTGTTCTACCATTTGAGATTAAGAAGAATATTTTTTCTCTCTCCTCCTTCTGACAAGCTGTTATGTTCTCTTTTTCAGTCTTCTCTTTTCCAAACTTTTAAACAGTTCTTTCAATCTTCCCTCACAGATAATGTTTTCTACACCTGTAATCATTTTTGGCGCTCTTCTCTGGACCTTCTCCAATTTGTCAACCTCTTTCCTGAAATGTGGCATCAAATGAACACACAGCGTGTAGGAGTGCAGCCACTGGAAACTGTCTAATGGTCACCAGAGACACTCAAATGACTCCAAAGACTGGGTGAATAAGATGGAGAAGAAGAAAAAGCAGATTAGAGACAGCATAAAAATTAGTTGGAGGTGGACCTGGAAGCTCCAAAGAATGAAGTACATCCTCTGCAAGCAACAGTCAAGTATTTTTGATGCAAGGGACCCATGCCCTTTAAACTATCTTGGAGGCCTTTGGCAAAAATTCCAGGCCAGAGACCAAATCCCAAAGGAAAAGTGACCCCTTTCATTAAGGTATATAGTTGGCTTGACCCTATTCTCAGAAATAATTAATTCTTTTCTCCCATCTGGGCAAAGTGATCAGAATCGTAACAAACAACAATTTATTTAGGGCAGGATCAAATCCCATAAAGAGAGAAAGAAAGACTCATCTACTTCCAAGAAGTACCTCACCTCCAACGACATCATGCATCGTCTCATGTACCCCATCACTAAAATGTGGAAATAGATCCCATTATCTAGAAATGAACATTTCTGTATTCCAGAATGTGATTTTTTGCTACTGAGCACTCATTAGTTCTAGACATGTTGGCTTTTGTATAACATAGGTTCGTTCATTTTGCACATTAGGAAAAAATTGAACTGTAGGGTTTTATGTTAGCAGCCCATTTTGCAATGCATTTATTTATCCATCCTTTGTTATAGTTTTCAGTTTCTGTTTGGTACTTCTAAAATAAAGCTATTCAGGATGCACTGCTCATTAGTGTTCCCTCTAAGCTGTGGGGCAGCCCAGCTTCACAGGTGATTACTCAGCACCGCCCAACCAGCAGCTCAGGGATCCATGCAAGGAGCTGACTGACTGGGCGGGGCTGATTAATCACCTGTGAAGCCCTGCTCCAGCACAGCTTAGAGGGACACTGCTGCCCATCTTCTGAATTGTATGGAGTCCTTAGATTGCAAACACAAAGAGTTGACAACAAAATTGCCAGACCCCTAGACATACGGTTGCCAGGTGTCCTATATTCAACCAGACAGTCCAGTTTTTGGGCCCTCTGTGCAATGTCCAGTATTTTCTGGTTTTCCAGCTGGGCGCCTGACGGAAGCCTGGCAGGGGCAGGAGGAGTGGCGCGATTGGTGCTGGGAGCCTCTGGTTGTGCCTGACATAGAAGTGACGCCTTGGGAAAGAGGGGAAGCCCTTTCTGTGCTCCTGAGCGATATTCGAGCACATTTTGGAGCTGTAGCCAGACTCACTCGTGCTTCGCTGGGACCGAGAGTGGGACAGGCAGCACCCTGGGATATGCATGTGCCCGGGTCAGTCCCGCTCCCTGCTGGCTGATTCGCTGCCACCCGCTTCTTTCCCCCAGCCAACCCTGTTCTCCCTGACCACCTCCTGGCCAGCCCTGCTTCCTGCCGGCTGGTTCTCCTCCTCCCAATCTCCCCCGGCCCGCCCCGCTCCCCCGGCCGCCCCC